TGATTTTTTAAAGATTTTATTTATTGATTTGAGAGAGAGAGAGAGAGCATGAGTGGGGGGGGAGGGGTGAAAGGAGAGGGACAAGCAGACTCCCCGCTGAGCACTTAGTGGAGTGCCATCCTAGAACCCTGGGATCATGACCTGAGCTGAAGTCAGATGCTTAACTGACTGAGCCACCCAGGCACTCCAAGAACTTTGATTTTTAGATGGGCATGATTTTTAGATGGGCATATAGCTACCCCCAAACTTACCACTTTCCCCAGATTCTATAAATACTAGATACCAGTCAAATTGATACAAGCTAAAGTGTTTCATGTAACTTCCAAGAAGTGTCATTAAAGTAGGGATGAGGAGAGTACATTTGCCTCTAGTACTTCCTCCTTTCTCTTGATTGGAATTCAGAAGTGATGGCTGGAAATTAAGCAGACACCTTGCACCATGAAGAGGAAGCCATGTTCTGAGTGGAAGGGGAAAAAGAGGAAGGAATCAGGATCTTTAACACTAAGAAGCACCACATCTGCTCTAGAATACCTACCTCTAGACTTTTTATGTGAGAAATAAACTGGTATTAAGCCTCGGTTGTTGAGCTTTTTGATATACACACCTGCACTTAATCCTAAAATCTGGGCTCTACCCTTAGAGTTTCTGATTCAGTAGATCTGGGGGTGGGGCTGGGGGAAAATACTGCTGATTTTCTTACCAGAAAGAACCCATTCTGTGGTCCTGCTGTCAATTAACTACATTTTTGGCAGCAGAAAGCTTTGTCTTTAATTTTTTTTTATTTTTTGCTAATATTTAACATTTTAAAAATAATGCATTTTCATTGCACAGATTCTTGAAATCTAATTTGCATTTCTAACTAGTTCCCAGATGATGCTGATACCTCTGGTCTAGGGACCACACCTGTAGAACCGCTGCACTGATGGAGATAATAACCCAGTTGTTGTCAACACTTGCTTTACATTAGAATCACTGGGGGAGGGAGGAGGCTAGGAGGGGCTCAGGGAGAGTCTTTAATAAAACACACCATCTACCTGGGACTCACTCCAGAGGAGACTGATTTAATTGATCTGTGCTGGGCTGGGTATGGATGTAGGTTAAAAATCTTCAAGATGATTATAAGGAGTACGCCAGGACAGGATATGGTAACCCTTTCCTGCTTACTGTTTACAGCAATGAGACAGAAATACCTGTGTTCCCCCACAGAGGGGAATGATATTTAGAAAGCTGCACTTGAGGACCTAGGACTTGAAGCCAAAAGACTGAGGTTTAAGCCACTGCTCAGTACAGTGCAGTTTCTCTGGACCTTGGTTATTTTACCTATAAAATGATGATGATAATATTTACATCATCAGGTTTTGTAGAGATTGAATGATAGGACATAGGTGAAAGCACTTTGTAATCTCAAAGTATTACACAGAAATAACAAGGGAGTAGACCCAGCAGATCATCTATGGAGATCCTGAGTCCATTCAGCTCTGGAACAGGATTGAAGAATTGAAAGAAGTAGGAGGAAGAACAAGAGAGAAGATGGGAGAAATAATGTAGGACTCCTCTGTGACTCCCTGCTACAGAGGACTGAAATAGATAGGATCCTCCATTTCTCCTACCACAAGTGCTGCCTTCCCTCCTTCCCTTGATTTAAAAAAAATGGTATTTCCACAGGTGTTCCTAGACTGAAATAATTCCTCTGGGTGAACTATTTGGTCTGGAGCACACAGACCTTGCCTGCATTGGAAGCAAGTGTTGAAGAATGGATGTTCCTGCTATTAGGATCATTACACTACCATCGGTAATGCAGCTTGAAATCTCCTGTCACTGAGGCGGTTCCCAAGTGGCTGTTTTATATGCAGGTGTTTGGCTGAGGATGTGTCAGATGTCAGGAACTGACCCTAATACTTCTAATTTCAGGATTAATGTTACTGGGCAGAGGGAGGTTTGGTTCATCTCTGGAGGGCCTCAGGTACCAGGCTAAGGGGTTTGCACTTTATTCTGTAGCCTGTAGAAGTCATTGGTTTTAATTTAATAAGTGACACAGAATGGTGTTCTGAGAATATCAGTCAGTGTGATGGATTAGATGGGGGTGAGGCTGACATCAAAATGACAAACCACAGAAGTTACTGAAGTAATTCATGGGTTAGGACCTCAACCTGGGTAGTAGCAATGGGATTTGAAAAATGATAAATGCAAGAAATGGAGTAAATGAAGACGAACACTTGGACTTCACAACTGTCCAGTTCTTTTAGTAAATACTGACAGTCTTCAACAACTAAAGATCGATGAGAGCTACCCTCTCCCTTTACTATTAGGTAGTGCCCTACAGTGAAAGCAAGTCTCAGACTTCATGCAACTACACAGATAAATATTTATCAACAAGCAGGCACAAAAAAACACTACACAAAAAGTATTTGGTGCCAAAGCACTGAACAGCGTTCTAGATTCAGGGAGCCATTCTGAAGGCTGTCAGTATGCCATAATCTGAAGCTTCTTCCACATACTCCATTTAGGCAAGAACAGAAGTGCCTGTACAATATCCTAGTGAGCCATGTATCTTGAACACCTGTTATTTCCACAATGAAAAATTATTTATCATTTGTTAATTAACATACCTCTAGTGCAGATTAACAGTGATAGTGGAAACACTTGTGCACCCAACTTTATAGTGAAGATTCCTGATTAGTCTTTCAAATGCTAATTATCCACCCTGGAGTGTGCAGATGAAAGTTAACTCTCAAACACATACACATCTCACTGCAGTATTTTAAAGTATACTGACAAGATAGCAAGCATCAAAGATAGTTTCAAGGTCACAAGGCTGTGGATCATGTTTGAGGAAGATGAAAAAGCACTGTTTTAATGAGGGACCTTCATGCTAAGGAACAGGAAACAGCTGTGGCTGATTTAAGCAGAAAAATTTATTGGAGGCTAGTGGGTAGCTCAGAGGACAGCTGGAAACGGAGCTTGGACTTGTGTGGTCAGAGAGTACAACCAGTAACAACACACACTGAACTGATGGGAGAGGGCTCTAGGGTTGCCGTAGGCATGCGCAAGCATACTGAGTCACAGACACTACGAATTCTGGATGCTGGATGCAAACCACTAGAACCACTCTTACTATTGCTCCAGGAGCCTACCTTGCTATACTCCTGCAGTTACCCAGGAAGCATGGCTTTCTGTGTTTGCTTGTGTTTGCTTTTTTGAGTCGACAGCTCCCAGCTGGTGAACATGATTGGTAGAACAAGTATGTGGCATTTCAGATTCAGCCACTAGACTCCTAAGGTGGGGAATTCTCCAAACACAGAATGATGGTTCAGATGGTGGGAATACAAAACCAACCAACCAACAAAATATATATGTATAAATAAATGTCCATTAAAGGTAAGTCGAATTAGAAGTGATGGCAATTCAAGTAGAAACATCTAGCAGGTAGTTGGAAATGTGACACATGTTCCCCCAAAGAGCCAGAGTTACGGATTTGGGAGTTGGCTAGTGACTGCTCTTAGAGTTAAGACAGGAGTCTGGACAGAATCTCACACTTTTTATTTACGTAGGAGGAATCTGAGTCTGAGAGTGCTTTATCACTTTGATCTGCGGCACACCCCAAACCCCCAACACCTATTAAATGAAAATGAATTCACATTCTATCAGCAAAGATAGGAATAGTATAGATGATACTAACAGAAAATGGGAGAGAACTAGTGATTGTTGAAGGCCTATTGTGTACTATTACTTTATTTAACAAATATTTAAGTACCGACTATGGTACTACACCAGGCTGATTTAATGGTGAGCAAAACTGGACATGTCCTGGCATTTGAGGAAATGAAAGCAGACTGGGGTGCAGACAATTGGGGGAGTGTTGTGGCAGATCACGCTGGAGGTAAAAAAGCGCCAGGCTACAGAACTTGTCCATACCTCTTGAAGGATTTGGGGCTTTAAAGGGGATAAAACATCTAGTTTTTAAGGTATTTGTTTACGTACATGATCTCACTTAATCCCTACAACAACCCTGTAAGGTGGGTGTTATTAGTATCCAATTAACACATGAGGAAACTGGGGTTCAGAGAGATTAACTGACCTAAGAGCTACAAGGAGCAGAAAATGATGGGAGGGATAGAAAGCAGGCAGAAAGGGAGGGCCTCTTAGAGAGGGGAAAGGAATTCATACTTTTCGAAGGCCTACCTTCTGCCAGAAAAAAAATAGTTTACACAGTATCTTTGCAAAAAAGTTTTTGTTTTTGTTTTTCAGAGAAACAGGTTGCACATAGAAAAGAGGAGCAACCAGGTTCCAAACTCCAAAACCACCGGACGCAGCTGCTGTGAAGTGCTGCCTCCCCCTACGTTTATTCAAGGAGTTCAGAGCACAAATGAGAATCAGGCCTGGGCGACTGATGAATCACAGACCTGTACCTCTGAAGCAAATACTACTTTATATGTTAATTAAAAAAAAGAAAGAAAGAAAGGCTGGTGAACGTGTAAGGGATAGGTGGAAGAAGGCGAATGGAACAGGCCAGGCCTGGGGAGCTCAGCGCTGTCGGTGGGGTAAAGACCCAGGCCGTGACTTAAAAGGAGTCTTAATTAGAAAAGAGGCGAGAAGGGCTTTGAAGGCGAGCCTAGGGAACTTGGGCTTCTGCGGGTCAGCGGACACAAAGCCATGCATTATGCCGTAGATACTAAAGAACAGCAACGCCTCCTGCGGCATTTGCAGCCCACGTGTGGACCTTCCCGCCCGTCCTGTCCCACTTTCCGTCCAGCCCGAGGCGGCGGCCTAAAGGCTTCCTGGGCCCGGTCTACGTGCTCCTTCGTGGTCTTCCCGCTCCCTGTTCGCCGCCGAGCCGAGGTCCCAGAAGGCGACGCAGGCCGGACTCGGCCGGCACCCTAGGTTGGGGGTGGGGGGTGCTCCGTGTGCTGTCGCAGCGCCGGGCACACCTGGGGCGGCGGCCGCACGGGGAGTTTGGGCGGGGAGGGGGCCGGGCCTCAGGGAGGACGCGCGCCGCGCGGTTTGACCCCGGCGGCGTTCCGTACCGTCGCGGACCCGGCGGCAGGAACATGGCGGCCGCGGTCGGGCCGGTAACGGAGAAAGTTTCCAACGAGACTGGCCTGTGTTAGTGCCGGTGGCCTCGGGCCCTCGACACCCCCCCTCCTCCGGCGTGCCACCTCCCAGATCCGAGTCGCCAGCTCAGCCCCAAGGGCCCTCCCTTTACTGTGTTGGCCCCAGAGCCGACTCCGGGGTTGAGAGCGTTGGTGGCGGCGGCCGAGTCAGGTAGGGAGGTCGGGGCGAACAGCGGGGTGGCAAGACCTGAGCACAGACACCGCCCGGGTCTCTGCGTCGTTCGAGCCCCTAGCTCCGCGCCCCCGGTCATCCGGGGCCGAGATTGCGATACCTGCCCCGAGAGTAGTGACGGTGGGGGTTGGAGGCTGGAAGGGGGGCGCTCCACCTCCCCCGCGGTTCCCCAGGCAGTTGGGCCCCCGGTTGTCGTTGCCGTCTCCCAAAGTGGAGGGGTGGTAGGGAACAGGCAGGCTTTTTCTGGAAGAATTGCTGTTGTTGCCCCAGTACTAAGAGATTGGATATTTAAGTTGCCATTCTCCTCGTATGTAGTGGGCCCAAAGAGTTCACATGAATTCATTGAATCAAAGCACGGGAATTCCCCGACCTTAGGTGCTCAGTGTGGTTCTTTCAGCTTTTGACGCTTCCAGATGGGACGGAAGTAGTGTCTGAGTCCAAAGCTGATGGAAGTGATAGAGTGTGTATGTAGTGGCTCTGTTGAGCCCTAGAGGTAGGACATGGAAGAGAACGCACTGGTTTGGAGGAATTTGGATGAATTAAGTGAAGGCTGAAGTAAGGCGAAAAGAGAAACAAACCAAACATTCATGGACTCCCCCTTAGTTCTATTACTTATGCGCTGTGGGATAGTATACAACTTTAGTCTCTTCATGTATTACTAAGTGTCCAATAACTGGCATTGTTATTAAATATAATTATTTCTGTATTAGTCCCTATTTCTTTCACAGGTATTTGTTGAATATCTACTTGGTGCCAAATTTTCTGCTAAGACACGGGTACACAGTATTAAAGACAAACTTTGAGAGACCTTGTGATCTAGTAGGGAATGCAGACCTTAAGCAAATGACAATCAGCATTTTGCTATTATAGAAGAAGTGGAGGGATCATATAAATGAGTCAGGGGTAATCTCACCAAGAAAATGATTTAGGTGAGACCTGAAGAGTAGGAGTGAGCCAGGTGTGAGGACTGGGATGGGTCTAGGAAGAGGGAAGAAGTGTACCTGGAGAGGGAATAGCAGTGGTGCACTTCAGAATTGAAAAGGTCAGTATGGCTGGAATACGAAGTTCAAGCGGAAAAGAAGAAAATAGATGCGGCAGGGAAGTTATTCACATATGGTATGGAGAGCCTTATGAGGCGTTTTAAGGAGTTTAGACTTTATTGCTTAAGATGCTCGGAAGCCGTTTGACGGTTTTTACAGAACAGAGTGAACTAACAAATTTTTTATTTTAAAAGGGACACTTCTTGGAGAGGGCACAGGTAGATATAGGGAGACATTGAAGCATGAGACGATGATGGCCAAAACTGGGATTTTGACTTTGGGGATGGAAAATAGAAACATTTAAGATGTGTCTAGGAAGAAGAGTGGACAGGACTTGGTGAGGACTAAATATAGGTGGTGAAGGAGAGGAGGGTTAGAGTAGTATGTGGGATTTTATAAAACAGACTCTGGGAGTTCCCCTATGCAGATTGACTCTTCTGTGCTCCATTTTTATCTGTCTCACAAGTAATTTCTCATTGAATCAAGTAATGGCAGACCAGTTGAAAAGATGCTGTTGCTTTGTTGTCTTATTCTGATGCAGCCAGTTTGTCCTTTGAAGAAGTTCAGAATGTGGAAAGACTTGTAAATTAGCCATTTAAAAATATTCTGCATGTTGATTTTGACAGTGTGGTTGCATATATTCTATGATATGGATGTTACGGGTATAATTTACATGTTTACCTTTTTTCTTTTTTTTTTAAGTATTTATTTGAGAGAGAGCGAGCACAGTGGGAGTAGAGGGAGAGGGAGAAGCAGACTCCCCGCTGATCAAGGAGCTGGACGTGGGGCTTGATTGCAGAACCCCAAAATCATGACCTGAGCTAAAGCAGTCACTTAACTGACTGAGCCACCCAGGTGCCCTTGTTTACCTTTTTTCTAGGGTTTTACCTCTAAGAGAGTTGGTGCTTTTATTTATATCAGACAGATTAATATATGTATATAATTAGGGAGAGAGAATAATTGAAGACATGGAAATAGTTGAGATTGCTCATAGAAAGTGTACAGTGAGAGAAGAGCCTAGGCCTGGGATTGAACATCCAAAGGATGGATTAAGAATCAAGAGTCTGCAAGAAGATGGAGAAGGAGAGGTCACTGAGTTAGAAGAAAATCTGGAGGTTGGTCTTTGAAAGCTAAAGGAAGGGCAGGTTTCAGAAATTGAGAGGAGTCAACAATGTCAAAGGTTGTTTGAAGAAAGTGCAGGATAATAAATGAAAAGTACGCATTGGTTTTAGGAGCTTATAGGTCACTTTAGAATTTGGCAGAGCAGTTTGTTGTATGGTAGGAACCATTGTTGAGTGGTGTGAGAAGTGAAGCAATCGTAGAATAGCTGTCAAAAGAGGACGGAAGATTGAACTTGGAAGAGAAGATGGGGATGCGTGAAGATTGTTTTTGTTTCTGGGTTTTTTTGGTATTGTTTTTAAAAAGAGCTTTGCAAATGTTTAAGTGCTAATGGATAAGAGAAGAGTGGGAGTTTGAAGAGCGAAGAGATTGTGAAGTTCTGGAAGAGGTAGAGGGGAAAAGATAGCCAGTATGTCTGAAAGATTTAGCCTTAGATAGGGAAGGGACATCCTTCTTCCCCCGTATCAGGAGATGTTGGTAGAGGTGGGTTTGTGGTGTCAGAAACTCATGTAAGCTCTCTTCTGACAACTCTGTTGGAGGCAGTCATCTAGTGAGAGTGCAGTGAGTGGGAAGTGGGTGTCAGAGATTTGAGGCTAAGGAAGAGAGGTTGGGTAGTCACAAAATGGGAGAGTGTTGACCAAAGAAACAAAAGGATGTCTCGTGAATTGCGTGGCAACCATTGAGCCTGGTGTGTGATTGTTTTTTTTCTTCAGCAGTGTTCAGTTGTCTAAGCCCAGACTGTACCATCAACCCTTTGAGGATCTGTATTCCAACCTATTTGTTGAACGATTATATTACAGGAGTGATGTTAAAAAAAAATGCAAAGAACTCTAGATTTTATCAATGTCTTACATATAAGCAAAAAGGTAAAGGCAAAATATAACAAAGGAAGACATTTTTTTAGCGGTGTATGGTATCTTAAGAAATGATGGGATGAAAATGTAATTGAGGAAAATCAGAATACTTAAATAGGTTTATCTGTAAAAAATACACTTGCTGAAGTAGAATTAGTGCGAAGTAGAATTAGTAATAGTACTTGGAACATCGCAGAGACTGTAAGATTGTTGCTCAGTAAAATTCTTCTCCAGCCAAATGAGTAATTAAGGGTTAATTCCAGGTTATCATGTTTCTGTCGGGTCTTTCTTTTAGTGTCCTACTATTTTTTTTTTTTCTTTAAAGATTTTATTTGTCAGAGAGAGAGTGTGCACAAGCAGGGGGAGCAGCAGGCAGAGGGAGAAGCAGGCTCCCCGCTGAGCAAGAAGCCCAATGCAGGACTCGATCCCAGTGCTCTGGGATCATGACCTGAGCCGAAGGCAGGCAGACGCTTAACCGACTGAGCCACCCAGGTGCCTCTCATGTGTCCTGCTGTTCAGAAAGTATAAATAAGCTCATCGCAAACAAGTCATTTTTTTAAATTTTTGTCTGGTTGAGTTCTCCATGGATATTTATTGTGACCATGAGCTGTTGAATGGATCAGTTCTGAAACAGTATAACATAAACTTTGAAGAATTATCTGGTAGATAGTTAAAGCATTTTTTGGCCATTGTCATGTTTTTTTTTAAAGATTTTATTTATTTGACAGAGAGAGACACAGCGAGAGAGGAAACACAAGCAGGGGGAGTGGGAGACGGAGAAGCAGGCTCCCCGCAGAGCAGGGAGCCTGACGCGGGGCTCCATCCCAGGACCCTGGGATCATGACCGGAGCTGAAGGCAGATGCTTAACGACTGAGCCACCCAGGCGCCCCCATTGTCATGTTTTAAGTGCAATTTGTGGGGGCACTCAAAGACTAAAATAATTATCTGAGTTCTTTAATGAATAATTGTTAACTTTTTAAAAGTAAAAGTATAAAGTTTAGGGGCACCTGGGTGGGTCAGTCATAAAGTGTCTGCCTTCGGCTCGGGTCATGGTCCCAGGGTCCTGGGATCGAGCCTCACATCGGGCTCCCTGCTCGGCAGGAAGCCTCTTCTCCCTCTCCTACTCCCCCTGCTTGTGTTCCCTCTCTTGCTGTCTCTCTCTCTGTCAAATAAAATCTTTAAAAATACATATATAAAGTTTAAATATTGGTTATTTAATGTAAATATTGGTTGGCATTCTAACTTCAGAATTTTGACTAGAAAGTTCAGGAATTGGTTTGCTACAGAGATAGTATTTAGATCTAGAAAGGAGGTTTGATAATCCAAGTAATTTAGTAGAGATCAAAGTATAGGGAAAATTATGAGTTAACTTTAGGGACTAACTTTAATGCAGTTAAACTTTACTTCTGGTAAGTTTATTAGTTAAACAATGTAAAGACTAAGATTTTATAGCCTGTTAGAGCTGCCTTATAAAAAGATGGAGAGGATTTTAGGTAGGAACGGTTGCTATTACTGGATACAAGTGCTTTTCAAATTAGATGTAATGATGAAGCCCATCATTCGGTTTAGCTGCTGAGTAGTTTTTGATTGTGCCAGATCCATCTTCTACAATCTAAGCTAGGTTGAATATCTCACATTTACACATTGTAGTTGAAAAACTAACCATTGAAGTAAGAATGGCTTAGTCTTTGGAAAAACAGTTTCACTGGTGGTGATTTAGTCATACTTCTTAGCATATGTTAAGTAGAAAGCACTGTCATTTTTATATGGATAAACTGAGTTTTTAAACCAGAAACAATGGCCATTAAGATACATGCAAGTAAAATTTAAAACTGAGTTTCAAAAGAAACTTTATTTCTCATTTATTCATTATTTCTACAAAGAAGAGAGCTAAAATATAAATTATATAAAATTAACACTGACTTATTTTTTCTGCTTTTTAGATCACGATAAACAAAAATTCCACCAGAGGAAATGCTGAAATAGGAGTTACGGATACGTTGGATTTGCTGGATGAAAAACAAGCAGTTAATTTTTGTACCACAGGGAGAAAGCCCAAATTGCCAGATTACATGTGTAAATCACTGCGTTACTGCTTTAGTCATTGTCTGTATTTAGCAATGACAAGGCTGGAAGAAGTCAACAGAGAAGTGAATATGCATTCTTCAGTGCGTTATCTTGGCTATTTAGCCAGAATCAATTTATTGGTTGCTATATGCTTAGGTCTTTATGTAAGATGGGAAAAAACAGCAAATTCCTTAATTTTGGTAATTTTTATTCTTGGTCTTTTCGTTCTTGGAATTGCCAGCATACTCTATTATTATTTTTCAATGCAAGCAGCAAGTTTAAGTCTCTCCAATCTTTGGTTTGGATTCTTGCTTGGCCTCCTATGTTTTCTTGACAATTCATCCTTTAAAAATGATGTGAAAGAAGAGTCAACCAAATATTTGCTTCTAACTTCCATAGTACTAAGGATATTATGCGCTTTGGTGGAGAGAATTTCTGGGTATGTCCGTCATCGACCCACTTTACTAACCACAGTTGAATTTCTGGAACTTGTTGGATTTGCTGTTGCCAGCACAACTATGTTGGTGGAGAAGTCTCTGAGTGTCATTTTACTTGTTGTAGCTTTGGCCATGCTGATTATTGACCTGAGAATGAAGTCTTTCTTAGCTATTCCAAACTTAGTTATTTTTGCAGTCTTGCTGTTTTTCTCCTCATTGGAAACTCCCAAAAATCCAGTTGCTTTTGCATGTTTTTTTATCTGCCTGATAACTGACCCTTTCCTTGACATTTATTTTAGTGGACTTTCAGTGACTGAAAGGTGGAAACCCTTTTTGTACCGTGGAAGAATATGCAGAAGACTTTCAGTCGTTTTCACAGGAATGATTGAGCTTACCTTTTTTATTCTTTCAGCATTTAAACTTAGAGATACTCACCTCTGGTATTTTGTAATACCAGGCTTTTCCATTTTTGGAATTTTCTGGATGATTTGCCATATTATTTTTCTCTTAACTCTTTGGGGATTCCAGACCAAATTAAATGACTGCCATAAAGTATATTTCACCCACAGGGTAGATAACAATAGCCTTGATAGAATCATGGCATCCAAAGGGATGCGTCACTTTTGCTTAATTTCAGAGCAGTTAGTTTTTTTTAGTCTTCTTGCAACAGCGATTTTAGGAGCAGTTTCCTGGCAGGTAAGCGTCTAGTTTGTTTATTATGTCAGTGCCTATGATGTGTGATTTAATGCTTGCTTTAAGAGTTAAATTATTAGAATCAAAAAGTCACGTTCCTGATTTCAAAAGGAGATTCTTTTTACTTTTGTTCATGGAGTTGAAGTACTGAATGAATATTGACAGTATCATTTAGTTTGATCTCTAGCAAAGAGGTACCAAAATGTTAGGAATACTCAGCGACTGACATGCCTCCTGCCTTCATTAAACACTCAGATTAAAGATTCTTAAGTATTAACATTTGAAGAGTGCTTAGAGATTGCACATTAATCCTTTCATTTCACACAGGTGGAAACTGAATGCCTGAGAAGACACAGAGTGTCTGGTACTAGCCCTAACCAGGTTACCTAGCTTCTATCTAGTCCGCCGGTCTTTTCACTACAACACATTTCTTTTATATAGCCACTTCCCATATATGTAAAAGGTGATTAGATATATAACATATCAGGTTCTTAATTATAGATTAGTGGCTCTCCTGAGAAAGAAAAATTGGGTTTTAAAATACATTTGCTGCCTATGATATATTAAAAAAATTAAAAAGTTCTTTTGTAGACAAAGATATTTAAATTGCGTGGTTGGAGTTTATAGTATTAACAAGCCTAGTCTTCCATTCTTTGAATATTTATTGATGCAGGATAGGTCAGATACTGTACTGGCTGCTGAAGATTGCAAGATGAGTAAGAAGTGTCTGTCTTAAGTCACAGTCTCTAATGGGCTAGGGAAGAGGCAAGCATGTAAACAATTATTACAGTGTGAGAAATATTGTAATTTGAGTACATCAGATTAGGATGCAGGGGAAAAGGGAAGATCACCTGTGCTTGGTACAGTTTTCTGCTTTGGTCCAGTTACTTGCTACAGAGTGATTTCTAGATGTGAGTGTTTGAAGGGAAATGTAGAGACTTGCCTGGGCATGGTGCCTTTTTGTCAGTGTGGGCTAGGGCAGGGAGCCTGTGGGGGAGTCAAGTAAATGATAAAAACATTGTGGGTGTTGCCTGAGGCTATCTTCCTCACTTTACTTGCTAGTGCTGGGGACTATCAGAATCATGATGATGATGATGATGATGGAGGATTTGTCAGAAACTCTTAAAAGAGTTCTTCTTTCCCTCACCTTTTTCCTATTAGCTCCTTTTCCAGCCCTAACTACTCCCCCGCCCCCCTAACATGAGCCTCATTCATGCTTGACACCTTTCCAGATCATCAAATCCTGTTAAGCGTTATTGTCTAAGCCACCGTATCTTTCTTGTATTCTTCTACCAGTGGTCTTCAAATACGGTATGTGTACCACTGGCGGTACACAAAAGCTTTCCAAAGAATAGGTCAGCAAAAATAATTTTAAGAATACCAATTTCCAGATTCTGTCCTTCCATTCAACTTTTTTTTTAAAGTTGATCTACTTGAGAATGCCTCTCAATTTAGGTGTGGAGTGCTATCTCATTGTGGTTTTAATTTGTATGTCTCTAATGACTAATGATGTTGAGCATCATTTAATGTGTGTATTAGTCATTCACTTATCTTTGTTTTTGAAATATCTATTCACATCTTTTGCCCGTTGTTAAATTGAGTTACTTCTCTTCTTATGATTGAGTTTTAAGGGTTCTTTTTATATTCTGGATACAAGCCCTTTATTAGATGATTTGGAAATGTTTTCTCCCAGTCTGTGAATTATCTTTTTTTCCTCATGACACATTTTGAAGAGTACAGGTTTTTAATTTCATGAAGACCAGTTTATCAACTTACTCTTTATGTACTGTGTTTTTAGTATATCTAAGAAGTCTTTGCTTCACCCTAGGTCACAAAGATTTTCTTCTATACTAGTTTTCTTCTAGTGGTTTTATTGCAACTTTTACATTTAGGTATATATGATCTATTTTGAAAAAATTTTTGTCTGTAGTATGATGTAAGGATCTAACTATTGCAAAATATGGCTTTCTAATTGTTCCAGGAAAGGACTTTCCTTTCCCCTGTTGAATTGCCTTGATACCTTTGTCCAAAGTCAGTGAAATATAAATATAAGGGTTTATTGCTGAGCTCTCTTTTTTGTTCCGTTGAGCTATATGTCTGACCTTATACTAGTACTATGCTGTCTCACAAGATATTTTCTAATTACCCTTGAAATTTCTTCTTTGACCTTTGGGTTACTTAAAAATTGGTTGTCTGATAACGTGATATTTGAGGGATTTCCCACATTTCCTTGTTATTGATTTCTAATTACATGTGATTGGAGAACATACTTTATATGACTTTAGTCTTTTATGAAGACTTATTCTGTGGCCTGCCATGTGTTTTATTCTAGAGAAAACACCGTGTTCACTTGAAAAGAATGAGCATTCTGCTGTTGTTGGGTAGAGTGTTCTATAAATACCAGCTAGGTCAAGCTGGTGGGTTTTCTTCCTAAATCTATATCCTTGCAGATTTTCTATTTCCATTAGGACTGAGAGAGGGATATTAAAACCTTCATTATAAGTTGCTAAATTGTGGTTTTGTCCTTTCGATTCTGTTACTTTCTTGTTCAGTGTATTTTGGTATTCTGTTCCAAGTACATATATACATCTTTAATTACTATATCTTCTTAATATATAGACCTTTTTATCATTATAATAGACAGCCTAGTTGAGTAGTTATGACAGAGACCTCAGGCTCACAAAACCTAAAATATTAACTCTCTGGCTCTTTACAGAAAGTTTGCGAACTCCTGTTGTAGGCCAGTGCTTCTCAACCTTTAACATGCATTGAAATCATGTGGGGATGTTGTTAAATTTTTGAAGATTGAAATTGATTTTGGGAGACAGCTTGAACAGTGAAAGGTGATGCAGAAACTACTGGTCAAAAGTATACCCATTGAGTAACAAGGTATTACTTTAGCTATTTAAGATTAACATGCATCTACCTGAGTTGTGTCTGCATTCCCCAGTTAGTTGCTATTTGGTAATTGCTGCCTATGGTGCAGGCATGGTCTTTGATGCAATGAAATTTTTTCAACTTAATTTTAATTGAATTAATCTTCTGTTTAAAGATATCTCGAACTGTGTTCTGCCCGGTTTTGGGTGAGATGTTAATGAGTATACTCAGAGAAAAAGTGTCAAAGAAAGAGAAATGTTCCCAAACTTACCATGAAATTCTTGCCTATACTTCTCATTAACCACCTCCTCCCACCACACCTATTAACCTCCCTATGAAACATAATTTAGGAAACACTCCACTGGATTTATATAAAGTCCCAACCCTTTTGGCTGATGAAAGCATCAGAAAATTATATAGTGAAAGGCAAAAAATTAAGAGTTTTGTAAGGCCAGGACTATTTTTGGCATAACATCATTGTTAATCCAAGTAAATTGTAAGCCCTGTCTCAAATTCTTTAAATTAGATTTTGTTTTGTAGAAATTGAACAGTGTTTAACATTCCTAAATGATACAGATACTGATTAGCTTTTTAACAATATATTCTAAACCCATTTCTTCACATTTCTGTGAGAGTAATAGTCAAGTGTAAACTGATATTTTCCATTGTCTCATTAAAATTTGCTTTAATGGATTTCCACTGGAAAAATAGTTCCACTGATTGGTGGGGGCAGACCCAGTGTGGCAGGAAAAAAAAAAAAAAAAGAATTAAACCTTTTGAGCAGATCAGTCAGCCAAAGATAGGATCAGTGAAAATGGAGATAGCCTGGAATCAAGTGTAGCTAGGAGCAAAGATAAGGACCTGGGCTAAGGTGATAGTCTTACCCTTAGCACAGCAATTTTTCCCTAAGGTCTTGTTGAGAAGTATAATATAAAGAGAACTTGCAATAAGTTGATGAAATGTAAAGTTGAATAATGTTCTGACGTGGTGGAGAGTCTTAAAATGTAAAAAAAAAAAAAAATGTTGAAAGAATAAAGAGAGCACTTGGGAATGTAGGATGATGGATTTCATTGAGTTAATGACCTAGCAGGCATTTGGAATGAACAACATTTTATAGATTTTTTTTTTAAGTATATTTTTAAAGAGTCCAATGTCCTATTATTTTACTACCAGAGGAGTAAAACCAAGCAAAAGCATGAGATTAACCTGCCTCGTGAAGCACAACTGTAGCTTGGACTTTAATTTCCAAAAATGGGCTTAGCCACTTTTTATTTTAAGCTTTTAACATTTTTTTTTTAAATTAAGCTTACTTGCATGTTAATTTTGGATTTTGTTAGTTTTACTTAGCTTAATATATACATTTTTTTTATTAAGGAAAAATTTGCATATAGTAATATTCACCCATTTTTTGTGTGTAATTTTGCAGTATTAACAAATACATATAGTTGTGTGACTACCACTACCAGTCAAAATATAGAGCAGTTCCATTACCCTCCAGAGTTCCCTCCTGCTCCTTTGTAGTCAACCCCCAGTAGTTGGCAACCACTGATTTGTTTTCTGTCCGTAGACACTTTTCTTTTGCAGAATGTCATATACATGAAATCGTACATTATATGGCTGTTGGAATCTGGCTTCTTTCACTTACCATAATTCATGTAGATTCATCTATGTTGTGTATATGTTTATTCCTCTGTATTGCAGAGCAGTATTCTGTTGTATGGGTATCTCACAGTTTATTCATTTCTCAATTGACGGATATTGAAATTAGTTTTTGGTGATTATAAAAGTTGCTAGAAACATTCATAGGGTTTTTTGTTAAGGTAAATTTTTATTTTACTTGGTGTGGGATTGCTGGGTCATGTGATAAACATGAATCATTTTTAACTTCTAAGAAACTACCAAACTGCTTTCAAAGTGGCTGTACCATTTTGCATTCCGACCAGCAGTGTATAGGAGTTCCATTTGCCCCACATAATAATAACCAGTGCTTGGTATTATCTATTTGTTTTTGTTTTTTAAGCATTCTAATAGGTGTCTGGTAGTAATTCATTGTGGTTTTATTTTCTATTACCCCAGTAACTACTAATGTTAAGTATCTTTTCTTGTGCTTACTTGCTACAGTAGGT